ACAGGGTGATGTCATCCTTTACCTGAGCTGCATGCCGATGCTCGTGCTAGTACTTTCAAGGAAAAGTCCCTTTGCTGCTTCTGATATGCCAGAGAATGAGCTGCATAACTCGGGTGGGAGTTGTTATGATTAATGTCCTTCTACAGCCTCTGGCTAAACTGCTCTTTTTAAAGGTGTCAGCACAACTGGCCACAAATGCCTTTTGTTATGTGAGGATCTGGGCGCCTGCAAGCATGCACATTTGCATACCTGCCCCATTCTCAAGCTATTTTAGTGAAATATGACCTCTGTGGTAATCAGGTGCAGTCCCCTGTCAGCACCATGTCACGTAATCTCATTTATAGATAGATTCATTTTAAAAGAAGGTGATTTCCACCCCCCCGCCCTATTCTGTTGTGAATTACCACGTTTGTGACCGTTACTAACCAAAATGTCTAGCTTGCACTTACTCACGGTCAGTTTAACCCCATCTGTTCATACTCTGGCATTGTCCTTCAGTGCAGTAGCACTTTCTGCTGCCCTTTCCTGATGTGTTCACCGACAGCAGCTGTGGCTTTTCCCAACCTTTCTCTCCCAATGTCACGCAGGATGTGCTGCTCCCGCAGGCGCCCTCAAGGTTGGGAGCACGGGCAGGTGATCGACCGAAACGGTCTCATTTGTCCTCCACAGCTCATGGGGACCGAGGTTTTAACAGATGAGCAGGCTGTGCTCCGGTGTGAGGGAATTTTTGAAGGCATACGAGCCATGACCTGATTTGACCCATGTCTTGGGAGTATACCAAGAGGAGTACCAAGGAGTACCAAGGAGGGGGGTGGTTAGTAGGTCAAGAAAGGTTCTCCTCCCCCTCTACTCTGCCCTGGTGAGACCGCATCTGGAATATTGTGTCCAGTTCTGGGCCCCTCAGTTCAAGAAGGACAGGGAACTGCTGGAGAGAGTCCAGCGTAGGGCTACAAAGATGATCAAGGGAGTGGAGCATCTCCCTTCTGAGGAGCGGCTGAGGGAGCTGGGTCTCTTTAGTTTGCAGAAGAGGAGACTGAGGGGAGACCTCATTCATGTTTATAAATATTTAAAGGGTGAGTGTCACGAGGATGGAGCCAGGCTCTTCTCGGCAATGATAAGGCAAGGGGTAACGGACACAAACTGGAACACAGGAGGTTCCACTTCAATTTGAGAAGAAACTTCTTCTCAGTGAGGGTGCCAGAGCACTGGACCAGGCTGCCCAGAGAGGTTGTGGAGTCTCCTTCTCTGCAGACATTCAAAACCCGCCTGGACGCCTTCCTGTGCAACCTCATCTGGGTGTTCCTGCTCCGGCAGGGAGATTGGACTGGATGATCTCTTGAGGTCCCTTCCAATCCCTAACGTTCTGTGATTCTGTGTGATTCTGTGATACATGTACGTGTTACTGAGTGAGCTTCATCCGTGTTGGGAATTTGGGTGTGTGGTTCCCAATGTTTTGCATGGTATCTGCTAGTGGAAAATTTCCTGCTCTGGCTCTGAAGTAAGAGCTTCAGGACAAGGGAAACACTTCAGGTGACGCGTGTCAGTGCTGTCCCCAGAGCTCGCAGAGTCACCCACCGAGAGCGTCCCTTGCTCAGCAGCAAATTTTGGTCAGTTTGCACTGCTGCTTTCTCTCTTCACAAACTGGTGGGATGGTCTGCAGCCCTTAGAGCACTCCACGTTACGGTTGTGGCTTCCAGCAAGTGTATCTGCAAGTGGCTGTCTGGCTGCCGCCGACACACGTCTGGTTTGGCTTTTGTATATTTGGAAAGCTGGTTATAAAAAGAACCTTTGCTGTTCATTCTTATGTATAAATGGAATATCTCATATTGCTGGAGGTGAGCATGGGCCTCCAAATTACTTGCAGGTATCTGGACCACGTGCAGGAAGAAACCTCAGAGAGGATTTATTAATGCACAGCAACAGCTGCACAGGCTAAAAGTTGTCATTGAAATCATTATGCATTTCTGAAAGTATCTATTACAAAAACTTTTTGCGATATTATGTTTCTTTGTTGGATGTTTTAACAAGACACTGCAACACGGTTACAGCTGCAACTCTGGCACTGGCATCTGTTGTTTTTAAAAAGGTATTTTCCAAAATCTGCCTGCCTTTGTTTATCAAGATCACAAGGCTGCTCTTGAGTGCGAACGTTTATGTAAACCTTGTTTGTTTGCTGTAATTTTCCACTGATCAGGTGGTTTCTACAAATGACACCTCCTCGCACAGATTTTTGCTCTTTTGTTGGTTTATTCTGTACGTGTATGTATAGGGTGTGCATTTTTCCTCCCCGATGTTGCATAATGCAAAATTTCTTGTGCATCACAGATCTCATGCAATGTCTCTTCCAGAATGTTCGACCTTTTTTTTATCATAAGGTAAATATCTGACAGGGCAAGAACATTCCTCGTTTTGCTTTGTGAAGAACTTTGCCGCTGCTCTCAGAGGTTTATTTCTGTCATCTCTTCAATTACAAGTTGTGCTCCTGAGAGGAGTTTTAATTGTCAGGCATCAGGAGGCTTTTCAAAGCCAGAAAGCATCAGTGTTGGATCCTTTAAGGATCTTAAATACAGTCACCAGCACTGTTGGGTAATTTACCTAATTTTTCTCTTTGAGGCGTGCCAAACGGTGGAAGAAGAGGCATTAGTCATGATTTGAGCATTTACAAGATCTGTCTTTCCCTCCCTGTTTAGGTGAATCCCAACTTCACTTAATGCTGGTGGCTTGTCTGTGACCCAGTTGGAGGACTAAAAAGTCTCATGTTAAAGGGAATTCTGTAGAAGGTGTGGTTTTGGATCCTCACAGTGATTCCTGAAATAATAACAGGAAACCTTTTGGATCTTTTGTATGGCTTCGTAATTCACATCCGTGCCTTGGAGTCTGAGCAGGACTATTTTATTTGAAGTGACTGATGCACATGTACCAGAAGTAGTCTCTAAATCCTGATGTGGAAAGTATCTGGATTTGATGTAATTATGTTGTAGGACACTGGCCAAATGGACAGAGGTTCTGAAAAAGCATTAAAATCTTCCATGTTAATCCATATCCTCAAAAGCCAAGATTATGTGGATTACAGTTTCTCACTGTTCTTGATGGGCACAGCCACTGTGGCTCCACAGTATTAGTTATGGTCTGTCATCCTGATAATGAGTTTCTTAATAAGTCCCTTAGTACTCATTGACAATGACTCATACTTCCGAACTGGGATCTCTGTGAAAATCTCGGTGTAATGGATGAAATGCCATATCCTGGTGAAGATTATGTTTTGACTTGTTGTGTGTTTAGGAAAAAGGCAGTTTTTAAAGGAATGGAATACTTACACGTAAGAAATTCAAGGGAGGATATGTTAGATTGAACTGTCTGGAAAGGCAAAAGATAAATGTGAGCTCTGGTCTCAAAGATAATTGCTCTCTGCTTTACAGGAGGTTAGATATTCTGGGGTAGTCATTAATTGTAAAAGAGTTCGCATACAGCCTCAGCTTTTCTTTTAAACCCAAATTCAGTCTTCTCATCTAGAGAGAATGATGCTGTGCTTAGCAGTAAAATAGCTCTGAAAAAAAACATCAGTGAAGTAGAACTTCACCTACAATGTCACTATCTTGAAACTAGCACAAATAGGCACGCTCTTCGCTGGGTAAAGAACTTTCTGGATGGCTGGGTCCAAAGAGTTGTGGTAGACGGAGTTAAATCCAGTTGGCAGCTGGTCACCAATGGTATTCCCCAGGGCTCAGTACTGGTGCCAGTTCTGCTTAATATCTTTATCAATGATCTGGATAAGGAGATCAAGTGCACCTTCAGTAAGTTTGCAGATGACACAACGTTGGCTGAGTGTGAGTCTGCTCAAAGGATCTGGACAGGGTGAATCCATGGGCCAAGGTCAATTGTATGAGCCTCAACAAGGCTGAGTCCTGCGTCCTGCACTTGGCTCACAGCAGTCTCATGCAGTGCTACAGGCTTGGGGAAGAGTGGCTGGAGAGCTGCCCAGCAGAAAAGGACCTGGGGGTGCTGGTCAGCAGCTGACTGAACATGAGCCAGCAGCGTACCCAGGTGGCCAAGAAGGTCAACGGCATCCTGGTTTGGGAAGTGATTGTCCCAAGTGGTTGTGGTACTGGGCACTGGTGCGGCTGCACCTCAAATCCTGTGTTCAGTTGTGGGCCCCTCACTACAAGAAAGACATTGAGGGGCTGGAGTGTGGCCATGGAACTGGTAAGAGGTCTGGAGGTCAAGAATTATGAGCAGCAGCTGGGGGAACTGGGGTTGTTCGGTCTAGAGAAGAGGAGGCTGAGGGGAGACCTTCTCACTCTCTACAGCTACCTGAAAAGGAGGGTGTAGAGAGGTGGGGGTGTCAGTCTCCCAAGTAACAAGCAATAAGATGAGAGGAAATGGCCTCAAGTTGCACCAGGGAAGGTTTAGATTGGATATTAGAAAAATTTCTTTACCAAAAGTGTTACCAAGCACTGGAACAGGCTGCCCAGGGAAGAGGTGGTCACCCTGCCTAGAGGTATTTAAAAGACGGGTAGATATGACACTTAGGGTTGTGGTTTAGTGGTGGAGTTGGCAGTGCTAGGTTAATGGTTGGACTTGATGATCTTAAAGGTCTTTTCCAACCTAAATTATTCTGTGATTCTATAATCTGCAAGACTTGCACATTGACCAGTGACTGTCTCTTCAGGAATGCTCCTCCCGGTATTGTGTTTTCTGCAGTTAGTTTGAATAGTAATCTCTCAACTGTGTGAGCTTTAAAATGTTTTGCTCAAAGGGGAAGAAGTGCCACACTGAACTATTTTTTAACTTAGAATAGTGAAATATGGATTTGATTTGAATGCCTGAAAGTTTTCTGTTCAGTGTAACTTTGAAAAATCAGACTCGGGGATATGAAACTGTAAAATAGGACACTGGAATATAAAGCAGTGTACTTACTCCAGCAGCATTTCTGTTGCAATTTCTGATCTGTATATTTCCATAAAATTGTGATTAAATGGTAGCTAATTCAATTCTTTTAGGTATTTGGAAACAAGATGATAATCCCTTCCTTGGATGGCGACCTTTTCCAGTGGGATCGGGATCGAGAGAGCATGGAAGCAGTTCCCTTCACAGTTGAATCTCTTCTCGAGTCATCCTACAAATTCGGCGAGGACGTTGTCTTGGTTGGGGGAAAGTCTTTGACCACCTATGGGCTGAGCTCCTACTCAGGGAAGGTAAGAGCCTGTAAAGTTGTTGTGTGTACGTGTGTTTCGAGCACTGTCTTGCAGATAGATTGGTTTTGAGGTTTAAACTGCAGTACAGTTCAAGTACACAACTGCACAGCACAGAAGAGCAGAATCTCAGCTTCTTGGGCAACAAATAAAGGAAGGCTAATGGCTTCAAGTGGAAGAGGTATCACACTGCTCTGTTTTCTACGGCTGGAGTAAAGCTGACAGCGGGTGCAGTTAGATGATATGCCCAAGCGCCTCACTGCAGTCTCCTGCTGCCTGTGAGCTCCTGCTCTGTCCCCTGTGCTGGCTTTATCACTGGTCTCGTCCTTTGCTGAGCTGATTCAACTTGCTAACCCAACAGAAAACTGTTCACTTTCTATTGGATTACTTTTGTGCTGGGTTAGCTGTAGGCAGCTCAGCAAGGGGTTGGGGAGTGCCAGAGCCAGCTCAAGGGAAGGGGACAGGGGTTTTGTGACCAGAGGTGGGTGAAGGGAAAAAAGAGGGATGACCTCTTTCTACTGAGCTGAGAGAGGAGTTCAGCTTTATCACATGGCTCTGCCTCAAGTAGACGTTACTGTTCAGCTTACTGAGTAGGTGACATGGGTTTTTTTACAACTAATTTCATTTTTTTCACAACTAACAAGGGATAGCTGGTCGAAAACAAGAAACACATTCAACATATGCAAAAGTTTAAGATCTGAAGTTGTTGTCAGCAAGTTTACTGTTTCTTAGAAGAAGTTCTCCTTAACTTTTGCATATGACATTAAAGTGTATGTTGAAAACCACTTGCTATTTGGCCAGTTCAGACGGTATTTTCCTTCTGAAATCCACTGGTTAAAAGTTATATGTTTTGAAAAAAACACAACATAAAAAGACTAGGAAAAAACCACAGGAATTAATTGCATCATTCAGAGTCCAAGAATTGAGATCCCACTCCCTCTCTTTAATATCAGATGTCATGTAAATGCCTGTAGATAGTTTGTGTAGTCAGCAGACATTTGCTGAATAGGAAATGTTGGTGCATTTTAAAACAAGTTAAAAAAGATGGATTCTACTTAAAAATTTTAGACTCCCACTGTTTGTTGTCCAGATAATAAGTTGTTTTTTTTCATTTTGACTACATTTTTTTAATGCAGAACACTCCTATGGCACGGTGTAGAGTGATCACTGGTGATAAAGAGCGTAGACCCAAAACGGGAGTTCATGAAATCATTTTGATTTCCTCACTGATAGCAGAGGACTCTGTACCAGCAGACTGCTCCTCCCCCGGTGTTCAGGAAGTGGAAATTTCGGTTTCTGCTTTGATTCCTGGCTTATGCTCGCAGTGGCAAAGGTGTCTCATACAGGAAATAGTGCCTGACTCTTCTTCATTAAGAGTTTGGGCAGTCTGTTGTCTTTGGCACTATGAGGTCTATTCAGGCTTCCTGAAAGTGTGTTCAACTCCTTTTTCAAAATAAAACTGCCCTTATCATCCAAATTCTGTTTGAGATTGGGAATGTTGCAAAGTCTGTGTGACTGTGAGAGTTAAATAAGGTTTTTTCTTTCCACTTCAACAGCTGCCAAGATGTCCCGGTTACAGGGACACAAGGCAAAGGGGGAAGACTCTGCGCTATTTTATACTATGTAAATCAGTAGTACTTCATTTGAAGCTCATAGAGTTATGGTGAGACAAATACGGCACGAAAACTGAATTATGCAGTGGGTCTTGTAGGAATGTTCTTTTGATGTGCATAGAAATAGTGGGAAAAGAGAAGCGCTAAGATTTCTTTCTGTTAGAAGTAGAAATGAGTGCAAATTATAGTCAAAAGGTAGTCAAAAGAGCCCAAACTGTAGACTTGCTAGAATCTTTTGAAAATTCTAAAAAGCCCTTATCTCTTAAACCAGGCTTTTCAGCATCGCTCAAGTCGAGCATCTAAAATCACGGAGCTCCGTAACGCCTGCGAGCCAAAAATGTGTTGTAAGGATTGTTAGCTTTGAGTATTGCTGTTGATTACATTTGTTTATCTCAAAGTTCTTCAGAGCTTCAAAACACACGTGAGTCTCTTGCCTTGTCCCTTAGGTGAGGTACATCTGCTCGGCCATGGGCTGTCGTCGGTGGGATGACGAGGAGACAGAGCAGGAGGAGACGCTGCTGCTACACCGAACCCAGAAAACAGTCCGTGCTGTGGGACCACGCAGCGGCAATGAAAAGTAAGTGTAAGAATTGTTCAGAAGTTATCCAAGAGAGAGAAGTTCTTAATACGTAATGTTTTAAGGATTTGACCTTCTTTTTATTCTCACTAGACTAGGAGTTACACAGGGGAGTTGAGATTGCTAACCAAAGGAATGCAGCAGGCTGTTGGCTGGGATCTAACCCCTTTGCTCCTCACTGCATTTGAAACGTGTCTTGAAAGACATGTACACATATTTATTACCTCTAAATCAAATGAAAATTGCTTTCCTTCTCCTTGTGTACCTCAGAAGACTTTGTCACTGCTCTACTGCACAAGGCAAATGTTACTAATGTTTGTTCCAACTATCGATTTTATGTACAAAAGGAAACGGATTAAAAGTCTTCTTGTGACCCACTGATTCACTTTTAGGTTCTTTACCTACTCATGATAATTGTCTGGTTTATTGATACTTAATTTCTTTAGCCTTCATTTTAAGCTGATATTTTAAAATGCCTTCAGTCTTATTTTCTAAGTCCCATTCTTAGATCTGCTTTGTTCATTTCATAACATAGGTGGTCTCTTCTTTACAAGCTGTAGAAACTTGGTTTAGTCAGTGACTTTCCTGATGCTGTCATGTTGAAGTTTTAATACATCGGTATTTCTATAAAAATACAAACATATTCTACTAAAAAGTACCCCAAGCACTGAATAAAATGTAAGTTTAAAAGGCTGGTTGCCATACATAGATACAACTGGCCAGCAATTTAGTGGAGAACCAGCAGTTCCCTGTTTCCCTGCTCCCTCTTGTGTTTGCAGCGGGATTTGACAGGTTGTGCATCAGTGTATGGGAGATAACGTAATTAGAGCTCCAACAGATGAGCAGGTCAGATCAGATGAAAAGAGAAATCTTGGGTTCTGTGGTTCTTGGAGACTGATACTACAGGGAGAGGTATGTCATAAAAACATGCTTTTTCCTTCGTACATCTCTTTAAAAACATAGTACGACGTCTTGTGCACCAGAATCCTCCTGTCTTTGCAGTCAGAAACAGATGTGCTTTCCTGCTAAAAAAACACAGTGTGGCTGCTGTGGAGCTTGCATGACAGATCTGAGGTTTTAATCCAGAGAAATAAAAACTTTTAATAAGTCATCTGAATATATAAAATATGCCAAACTTTTGCCATAAGGATGTAAATTCTTTAAGGAGACATCTGGGCTCCTGGTGGTTGCCAGACTGATCCTAAGAAACTTTGGGTACCCAGACATAGTGTTCAAGAAATATTTTCCCCTTTCTTGCTGTTCAAGACACAAATTTGCCATACTTTCCCATCCGTGTCTTCTCTACAGCATTGGGCTATATCATGGAAAAAGAGAATTATTCTTTCTCTTTCTGAAAATAATTTTCAATTTCTGCTCTAATTTGTTGGTTTACAAAAATTAAAACAGCTTTTAGCTATGCAGGACAGGTCTGTGTTCCTTATACAGTCGTATTTTTTCAGTGTTCACCTATGGGACGTGAGCAGTCCTGGTTCATGAAGTACCTGCAGAGAAATCCTGTGTTAGGTTGTGTGGGGGGTTAAAACCAAGAAATAGAATTGTCCCTTTCCCAGCTTGAAAAATCTTAACATTTCAAATTAAATTTGCTTTATTAATGAAGATAAATGTCTTGTCTAGAATGCTACTTCCTAAAGGCTTTATACTTGTTGCTTTCATCAGCTACATAACATTTTCCTGCCTAAAGAGACCCAGTTGTACTACTTGATGATTTTAATTGCCCTCTCCGTAAACTAAACCTTTAACGCCGTTAGCCCTACTTCACCAGCTGTTTTCTCAACTCACCCATCACATTGGACGAGATTTCTCAGCCAGTTTGGTTTGTATTCTGGGTTAGCACTCCCCCTCCTGGTACAGCTGTGTTCATCTGACAGTCTGAGAGTTTACCATGAAAATATGGGCCAAATATAAGTAATTCAGTTTAAAAATCTTCTGGATGGAGGATTTTGGAATATGTAAGTTGTTTCTACAAAGTTTTTCTCTTTTTCTTTAAGGTGGAATTTCAGTGTTGGTCACTTTGAGCTGCGCTACGTCCCAGATATTGAAACTAGAGCCGGATATATTGAGAGCAATTTTAAATCAAGTATGAACAAAGAAGAAACCAAAATCATTTCAGATGTGGATGAGCAGGAAGCTATGATGAAAGATACAGTGATAAAGGTCTCAGTAGCTGACTGGAAGGTGATGGCTTTTAACAGACGAGGAGGACATCTGGAATGGGAATACCAGGTAGGGGGAAAGGCAGAATATTACATTTTACAAAAGTAGTTTGCAGCATCACAGATGATGTTTTTCATCTTGGGTTTCAAGTACTGCCTTTGTAAAGAAGCACACATCTGTTCGTTATTTTTTTAACTGAATTTCTGACTCTGAGCTGCTGCATCTGTTACAAAAACTGAAACAAGGAATTTCAGCACATTGTTTAGCATTGTTCTTGCATAGTATCTAGTTAATACGACATTAATGTTCTGTTACCTCTCTCTCCTCCAGTTTTGCACTCCAATTGCTTCTGCCTGGCTGGTTAAGGATGGCAAAGTGATTCCAATCAGTCTGTTTGATGACACAAGTTACACCGCAAACAGTGAAGTACTGGAAGATGAAGAAGACCTTGTGGAAGCTGCCAGAGGGGCCACCGAATCCAGTGTCTATTTGGGTGAGACACCGACTGCAGCATTTTCTGTAGTAACAGAGAATAGGATAACGTTTGAGACCGTAGTAAAGCAGACCTTTCTGTACTGGTAGAAAAGAGGAGCTGTAACATGTCCAGTCTGATAGTCTGCATAACGTAGGCTGTTGAATTTAACCCACATTGCTTTATAAAGCTCCAAAATTGAGGCTTCACTAATAAATATATCCCAGAAAGGCACCTTCTCTTGATTTAAAGACTTTCAAAAGAGATGTGTTCTCATCTCTTTCTAGCCTGCTCTGGTCGCCTTTGGTGTCATTGAAAGTCAGAGTTCTGTGTACCCCTCTTAGAAATTCTGACAATTACAGAAGGTATGGCGGGTTTCATATCTATGACTGTTTAGCCTAAACAGTGATAGTTTAAAAGACTGATTTTTTTTTCCTTTTTCAAGGCCAGAACATTTCAAATCCATAAATCTTTTCCTATTTTATTGTGAAATGTTCATTGCTTTGTAGTTTCAGTACATTGCAGATGTTTGAAAATACCGTAACTTTTAAAGATAGGTTTATAGCTAACAGAGCAGTCTCATTGCTTGGTAAGCAATAAGCAGTATCTCCCTCCAGCCTGCTAATTTGTCACATTCATTTTTTCCTCTACATTTATTACAGTAACTTACCATGAAGAAATTTCAGTTAAGACTTTATGTGACTGAGTTTTCATCCAGCTGTCAGAATTTATTTGAAGTAGTTTGTAACAGTTTCAAATAGAGTAGCCCTGGGTCCTTCTTCCTCTCTGTCTGTCTGGGAGGTAAATGTGCTTTGGTTTTCTGAGACCTTGTTTGCCTTAGCTGTTAGTGCTTACACAGATGAAGAATAACACTAGGAAGAAGCCAGCTTGTTCCCAGCCTTCCTAGTAAGGGCTGTTGAGGAGTGGTCTGGTCTGTACCAGCATTAACAAGTTTGAAAGAAGTGATACCAATGCAAAGCCCAAGCTGCTTTATAGCTCTTCAAAATTGCTGGCATTTTTCGGCAGCCTCAGCTCTCCAGCAGTGAAAAGGAGATGTCCTGATCTCCTCCTTGTCTAGAACAAAGGGAACATACTACTTGAGTTCATCCAGCCTAGCACTGAGAGTCAATATTTCAGATTCTCAGAATATAAAGAAATATTTTCCAAAATGTTGTTAACCACGTATTTTAATGCAGCACTTTTATGCTGGGGGTGAAGAGAACTAAATCTTAAGGCTAATATGCTCTCTGGTTTATTACTTAGGTATGTACAGGGGCCAGCTGTATCTTCAGTCATCAGTCAGAATTTCTGAGAAATTCCCAACCAACCCAAAGGCTCTGGAATCAAGGAACGATAATGCAATTATTCCTCTCCCCAAAATCAAGTGGAAACCTTTAATCCGTAAGTACCAATTCAGAGTTTCATGTACCCTATCCTAGCTCTGAAAAGACAGGACACCTTCCTGATTTCTATATCAAACTAGTCTAATGTTTCCGCTGTAAACCAGTTCAGGAACCGTCCTTCTGCTTTACTAATCATTTAATTCTTTCTAATTAAATGTTTAATGTCTGCTTTCTTTTACTATGGATATGAGAAGGTCTTTTTTAATAATGAAATGCTGGTCTTCTAAATCAAATTTTTATAGAAAAAGGAAGCTTTTTGTGGTGATGTGAATGTGAGTGAATTGATTTGTCCAAAACTCGTATTTTGGCAGAGGTGGGAGTGATTAATACAAGAACAGAATTTTTGTAACAGTTCAGCTCAGAAAATTTTGGTTTTTCTGTGCTTAGATTCTCCTTCCAGGACTCCAGTGTTGGTGGGGTCTGATGAGTTCGATAAGTGTCTCAGCAACGACAAATATTCTCATGAAGAGTACAGCAATGGAGCACTTTCAGTTCTGCAATACCCATACGGTAGGTGGAAGTTCTAAATTGCAAAGTGTTTCAAATAACCAGGTTTATCCATTTACTATCTGTGAAATTCAGTAAATGGCCATTTGTTTGATGTCAAATATGTGTGGTTTTTTAACATCTAATGAACTAGGAAATCGTTGCCCAAACTAGGATTTCCACATTGTGGTGTATGTACAGTTAGTGCCACAGAAGACACTTCAAAGTGCTAGAAATTACTACTGCGGAGGTACTGTGTGTACTGCCATTGCCACTGATAGGTGATCCAAGTGGAAAAATATTGTAGATTATATTTTTCAGAATTTGCTAGCAGTGCTAGAGACTCAGCCTGGCAGAATCAGGTTTTCTGTATGGAAAACATTCTGGTTTAAAGTGATCAGGCCTTCTGAAGTGTTAGACTTTGATATGAGAGAGAGTTGCTGTGGAGTACACAACCTTGATTAACTGAATTTCCTTATGTGCCATTGAAAATCATGGGACGTGCAAACAGTAATACTCTCTGTCTGTCGAGGAAACCTATTAATGGGAATATAGAATTGTGTTGTAGTTACATACAAGTAAATCTATGCCGCCTTTGTGTCTTTGATGCACAGATAATGGTTATTACTTACCCTACTACAAGAGAGAGAGAAATAAACGTAGCACCCAGATCACTGTTAGATTTTTCGAGGATACAAATTACAAGAACATTCGCAAAAAGGATCCTGTTCTTCTGCTTCACTGGTGGAAAGAAATTGTTGGCACCATTGTATTTTGCATTGTGGCCACAACTTTTATTGTACGCAAACTTTTCCATCCCCATCCTTACAGCAGAGTAAGTATTTTTTTCCTGAATCCTAACTACAGAAGATACTGTTCTAGCCTTTTCTTTCGGTTTTGACTCTGCAATGAGTAACAGTAATAAGTTAATAACTAGTCAGATAATAAAATGAAAAGTCTAAATTTGTTTACTCTTATCGGTGAGGGCTGTCAGCTGCCATGTACAATTTGCTTAAGTGCTTCAGTAAGCAGATTAGACTGCTTCAACCATATCTAACGTTTTACACTGAAATTATTTAATGCCGTATCTAAGGGTTACAAGCTGGTCTCAAGCACTTTAGGACTTGAATTTTTTGTTTATTTGTTTTCTCTTCTTGTCTTGGTATCCTTTCTTAGCTGCGGAAGGAGTCTGAAACACAGTGTCAGACTGATAATAAATACGAGCCCACTTGTGGAGATGTTAAAGACAGCAGCTGGAGCGACGTCAAGAACTCTGGATACGTGTCAAGGTAAGCTCAGTTCAACACAACATGTACAGGGTTTTTAGTCAGTGTGACAGCTAATGCTATCTGGAGGAAAGAGTAGGTGTTCACATTTTAACTACCCTAGTCCTAGTCCTCTGATTTCACAGGATAATCTGCAACTGACCCAGAGAACCCTGTCACCCCGTTACCGATGGGAGATTGCAGTTATAATTAGTCTAAGCAATCCTAGAGAGTCTGCAGGATACCTGTGATCAGGAATGTTGCTCTCCTATTTC